AATATTTCAAGGGCAGTCGACCGATGAACTACTGGATTTAATATTCAAATATTTAAACGACAATATCGACTATATGTATAATTGTATAAATACGCATGTTTGATTGTATATTTTTGATTCTGTTAATAAGTGTTCTCCAACGTCTTCCGTCTTCTTATTTTTGAACGGTGGGAGTCTAACGTTCGGGTGTCATTAATACAGTGGTTTGGCGTTACATCAAGCAGAAAACATAAAATATGCGAAGACAACTTGACGCTGTCGTCACACAACTGTTGTAAACTCTATTTACGATATGCGCGCCCACACCTGTATTTTCAAAACGTCAGCCCTTGTGCTTATAAGAAGCATGAACATGTTTAATCGGGTGTACAGTTGAGGCATTAAAAGGCTGAAAGGGGTTGAAAAATAAACCTAACGTTGATAGAATCCAGCAATTGGCATTGTTCCCACTGAGTTACAGGAGGATCAGGGGTGATCTGATTATGGCGTACAACATATTGAGCACGCCAAACCATCCCAACGTGTGCATCTTACCGATGCATCACCACCACTAACCTCAATACATTCCTCGAAAAATCGCACATCGAAGAGCGAATACCCAGGTTCGCGCACACATTTTATCATTGAGAGTCGTCGCAACTTGTAATGCTCTCCCAACCGAGGTGACCACAGCCCCCTCAGTGGACAGCTTTAAGAAGAGACTTGATAATCATTTACTCACATACGGATTATCATCTCCCTCGTGGACAAGCTGTGCATGATGCACATCTTGAGACCTCTCAGTTATTATCATCTCCATTTCCTTAGATCACTCAATTATTCTGTCTAGCATATTATCCCTGTTTCCTCTCAATTGCTTACACTTCTGTCCTCTCTCACAATCTTCACTACCGATTATTAAACTAAATTATCGATTTATTTACTCAGTCCTGAAATCCTCCTATTAGCTTTAGAATTTTCTCCTTATTATTCTCCACATTGCAACTAACTGGTCTCCAGTCTAGTAATTTGATAGCTGCTGGTATGAAGAAACCCCACTGCCCTGAAACAAACGTATTCATTCAAAACGCGAGACATACAAACTCACAAGCGAATGTCAACTGGCTAGAACTAGACATTCAAGTGGCTAGACCCCCATTCATAGGGCACTACCGAACACCTGGAACCGTACCAAAAGAACAAGAATCAAGCGCAAAGAAATCGAAAGTTACTGGATATTGAAAATCCACAGCGCAGCCAACTGGACCGGTTCTGAATAAAGTCAGCTTAGCAAATAAATGGCCCCACTTAACTTAGAGATCGATTATTGAATAATGTCATTTTTTGGTCTAGCCGCCAGTGGAGTTTCTGCATACCAGCAGCTATCAAATTACTAGACTGGAGACCAGTTAGTTGCAATGTGGAGAATAATAAGGAGAAAATTCTAAAGCTAATAGGAGGATTTCAGGACTGAGTAAATAAATCGATAATTTAGTTTAATAATCGGTAGTGAAGATTGTGAGAGAGGACAGAAGTGTAAGCAATTGAGAGGAAACAGGGATAATATGCTAGACAGAATAATTGAGTGATCTAAGGAAATGGAGATGATAATAACTGAGAGGTCTCAAGATGTGCATCATGCACAGCTTGTCCACGTGGGAGATGATAATCCGTATGTGAGTAAATGATTATCAAGTCTCTTCTTAAAGCTGTCCACTGAGGGGGCTGTGGTCACCTCGGTTGGGAGAGCATTACAAGTTGCGACGACTCTCAATGATAAAATGTGTGCGCGAACCTGGGTATTCGCTCTTCGATGTGCGATTTTTCGAGGAATGTATTGAGGTTAGTGGTGGTGATGCATCGGTAAGATGCACACGTTGGGATGGTTTGGCGTGCTCAATATGTTGTACGCCATAATCAGATCACCCCTGATCCTCCTGTAACTCAGTGGGAACAATGCCAATTGCTGGATTCTATCAACGTTGGGTTTATTTTTCAGTCTTATCACCCATGTAGTTGCTTGTTTCTGTTCTTGATCAATGAGAGTTCCATCTCTCATCAGAAGTATTAGTGCGCCGACATTCAGATTGTCAAGATGTGTACATGAACTTACCATAATCAACAAAACCATGTTTATCAAGGGCTATTTTTGTAGCTCCTAAAACACGAATCTTTCACATTCGTCACTACGGAGATTTTTTCTGTCGATCGATCATTAGCTAATACTATATAGCACCATTTAGCTTTGGGCATCTCATGTGCAGCTACCGAGCATACGAAACTGTGATATACGCTGAACACTGAAAAAATCGAATTTGAATTGGCTGTGCTTATTTTCAGCTGGTTTCAGCAGTAAACATGTTTTCAGTGAAGCAGATGTAATTCAATTGGCTAATCCGTGTTGTGTTGAGTTTTAATCATTGAATCTAGGATTAATCACTGATAATTAAATATTCAATATTTTGAATGCTAGCCACTGTAAAACAATTTCTTTGCGCTCTATTTTTGTGATTTCGTTACGTTTCTGTTGTTTAGTGGTGTATGATTGATAATAATCTAGCCACTCAGCTGTAATAATTCTGGTTAGTCGACAGTTACTTATGAATTTTTTCGCCCCGTAGTTTTAGTGATTGGGTTTGTCCTAGGGCAATAGGGTTTTTAGATAACAGCAGTTTTGACCGTTTGATATCACCTTTGACGTTTTCAAAGTCGGCATTCCTTTTAGGTATTTAATGCGTCTCATTTTTGAGGTCTGCTTCGATTGAAGCAGAATGTTTATTTCATTGCATTGGTTAAACTCACTGCCATATTATTTTCCCATCATTCACCTTATTAAACTTTTGATGTATCTGGTCACCTGAGGATATGTAGTTGTGTTGCCAAATAATTGTTCTGTATTTTTTGGGGTTTTATTCGCATACACATCAAATATGTTTTACACTTTGATGTTGTATTTTATGTGTGCTCTACGTATGCAAGGCCTGATAATTTGATCAACACAATGCTACTCCAGATCTTGTAATGATATGAAGGTACACAATGTGACGGAGTAACAATCGTTCATAAGACTATATAACGTAATCCCCAAAGCGATTTGAAATCAAAGACAAGGTTATGCCATGGAAGAATCTGTCATATGTGCTGTAGAATGACATACTTTTATACTAATTATTAACAAGAGCTTAACATCATAAAATGACACACTACAAAATTGATTAGTAGGTTACCACCCCTGCAGTCAATGAAGAAACAATCATCATGCCTAATTCTTGGACATAAGTGGAGGGATAATAAATGTAATAACAGATACGCCATTAAACCACTGTACTAAGTTTTGTAGACATTTTTGATGATATACGAGATCTTTTTCCTTTAAATATAATTCACCGGTTTATTTCAAATTTTTCGATCCACTTACTCGTACTCTGTTTCTCGCACACTGCTACACTATTTAGTCCTTATATTTTGTTAAACATAAGTAATGTGTGTGATGAATAGAATTGCTGAGGCTTTTTCGTAATTATATTAGATGATCTGTTCTTAGAGATACATACCACTGTCTTCTGTAGATCGCCTTTTGATTATTTTTAATTTATCTAGTGATTCATTCTAGCAAAGCACTAATGTTAGTAAAGATATTTCTGTGATTCCAGTCCACTGTGGTTCATTTCAGGCACTCAGGCTAACACTTTAGTCATGACTGTCCTAGTCATGTGTTCACACGTCTTCATTACTTTGTCCATGTCTCTCATTACCTATGTTTTTATTTCCTCCACATTGTGGAAATTGATTTGCTGCAGCTGTCATTCTTATAATATTTATCTCACATATTTCTTTTGAAAGCTGAACTCAAGTAGGATGAGCACACACATCTTCCACGCAGAACGTGATGCGGATCGCTCGGGAAGCGAAATATCAACTACGGATAGCTTTATTCAAGAATTCCAGGAATTTGAAGCACAAGTCTATTCTGGTGCATTGTTCGAACAAAAGTGTGGAACTAGTACTCCAAATGAAAACATTAATTCTTTACCACGTCAGGCAAATAATATTCCCACGATGAGACTTGAGCCATGTTCACGAGAAACGTCTGCTAATCAACATCTAGGGAAGCACGATGCAAATAAAGTAAGTTAGATAATTTTATAAGTTAGGTTGATATGTGTCAACACATACGGAGACATCACCTCTGACTAATTGACAAACAATTTAATGAATTTCCTAATTAGTCCGTAAAACCTGAACAACAACTAGACTTCGATCGCATTTTTCTTCATTATTTTTTATGTGCTAGACACAAAGCTTATGGAATCCTTTTATTGATTTTAATCTTATGATCGACTGACGCGTTAAATGTCGCTAAGAAGAACGCGGCCAAATTACCGATCGAAACACTAGTTTCTAGCTTCTGTCATTTGATTCCAATAAAATAGGGCTACTTACACTTCTGTGTTTAAAAGCAGGCCACAGTTGATTAGCTGTCACGCAAGAAATTCCGGCCTCTAAGGTTAAGCATTCGTGCTCGAAACCTAAGGTTTTTCGTTCAACTCCTGCGTGCGGGGGTTGTGAATGAGCACTCCTGATGAATTCAGGGTTGGTTGCTTTTACGAAATATATATATATATATATATATATATATATATATATAGAATGTTATTTTTTTGTTATTATATATTAATGTTGGTCGTGGAGCACAGGCACACATCTAGGCGTCCGACAATATTCGTCTTCCTGGACCTTAAGTCGGCATTTGACTCTGTGGATCGTGAGGTTCTGTGGCAGTGTCTGTCATTAAAAGGTGTACCAGAGTGGTACATTAACCTTATACAATCTCTCTACTCGAACACCACTGGTCGGGTTAGAGCCTATGGCTTTTGCCAACCTGTGTCATTTATGGCGTAGGCGAGATATCCGTTTGCTGACCAAAGGACGAGTGTACTGTGCAGCAGTTCGCTCCGTTCTCCTATATGGATGCGAAACATGGCCGGTAAGAGTATAAGATATTCGTAGGTTACTAGTATTCGATCATAGATGTCTTAGAAGCACTGCAGACTGTCAAAAAGCCTACGCAACGACCGCGAATGGTGGTGGGTGGCGAAAGCGATAAAGATGGAATAGGCAACAATAGAGTTTTTCCGACTGGTATTAGAAATCCATCTGTTAGCGAAACTATTTCAGTAAAGGATGGCTGTATCATTCATTTTCAACCCAGGAGATTGGATCGATAGGCAGAACACTTTAGGAATAATTTCAACTGGCCTTCACCCACACTCCGGTCGCTCACGATCCCCGGTCATCCTGAATGGCTAATCGATGGAGGTCGTCCGACTCTTTTTGAAGTTGAGAAAGCGACAGTAAATCTGAATCGAGGGAGATCAGCGGGTCCTGACAGATTGACCCCTGAGATTTTTAAACTCAGACTAGATAAAATCAGACTGGTTTTCTACCTGGACGTGGATGTATAGACAAAATATCCCAACTACGTCAGATCCTAGAACAAAGTTACTCGCTCAGACACCTCACAACAGTAGTATTTCTCGATCTTAAAGCGGCATTCGACTCTGTTGATCGTGAGGCTTGTGGCAGTGTCTGCTATTAAAAGGTGTACCAAAGAAGGACATTAACCTTGTACATCCCCTATACTCGAACACGTTTGGTCGACTGAGAGAATATGGCGAACTGTCACCGAAATTCTTTACTTCAAGTGGTGTCCATCAGGACTGTCCACTTTCTCCATTCTTGTTTAACTTTTTCGTAGATATGATTGTAGAGTTGAGTTTATCTTCGTCTGACTTTTAAGGAGTGAACCTTTACCAGGAGTCACGCTTGCTGACTTGAAATATGCCGATGACATAGTCCTGTTCGGTGAAGACGTTGACACACTACAGTCTTTTGGCTACCCTAAGCAACAATGCAAACATTTTCGGGATGCGGCTTTCCTCATCGAAATGCAAAATTTCTCTTTAAGATTGGGTTGCATAGGTACCTGAACTAGTGACAGAGAGTGAAGCAGTTGAGCGTGTCGACCATTTCACTTATCTTGGGAATCTCATCAGTGCTGATGGTCTAGTGATTGACGAAAGCTCAGCCCGGATACCTAAGGCTCGATTGGCTTTTGCTAACTTGTGTTACCTATGGTATAGACGAGATATCCGTTTGCTAACTAAAGGACTTGTCTACTGCACAGAAGTTTGCTCCGTCCTACTATATGGATGCGAAACATAAGACATTCGTAGGTTATCAGTATTCGATTATAGATGTTTTCGAAGCCTTGCTCGTATATCTTGGGACAACCGAGTCAGCAATGCTGTTGTTTAGAAACGAGTTCTAGTTAGGGACGGCAAATCAATAGATGAAATATTGAAAGTTCATCAGTTGAGGTGATTGCGAAATGTGTTACGAATGCTCGACCACCGACTGCCTCGACGAGCGATGTTCTGTGGTGTAGAAGTAGGTTGGAAGAAAGCTAGGGGCAGCCAGACCAAAACATGGCACAAATCCATGAAGTCACTAACAAGTAGATTGAGTCATGTAAACCACCTTGTTGGGGTCCGCTAGATGATAATAATAGATGGTTAGAGACCCTGAATGACATGTCTCAAAATCGTTTGCAATGGCGCAAGTGCATCTGCTCTGTGTTCTCTCAAATTCTAACCTGAATTCCTCATAATTTCTATTTTTCTATTTCTAAAGTTACCTCTCTGAATTATACTTCTCGAATCATATCTTTCGAATCTTTGTTTCTTGGTAGCTTGTCAAACCCCCTGACTCTTCCCATAGCCAATCCACCATTTCAAAAAACTCGGAGGTGAAGAAAAGTAGCACATCTACTATACCATCTCGGCAAAATCTTCCATCACGTTTGGAATTCCCTGCTTTAAAGTCAGCTGCCAACACAACGACAACAACTGACAGACACCATCTGTCGAGTTCTGACTTTATCAAAGCCAAATTTTCCGGAAGCAATCTGTATTTTGTCCCAAATTTATTGTCAACATCGGATATTGTAGGAAGCAATCAAAATTTCTATTTAACAACACCTATCTCTGACCCACATTTATCTGTACAATCAAATTCGTCATCCAATCAAATGAATAACACAAGATCATGCAATGAAAATGGAGTAGAGGTCGAGGTAAAAAGTTTAGCTTCATTATCCCCATCGAACAACAATTTAAATTTATCTCACCAAATAAATAAAATAAATTTGGATTCAGTTGCATCATACGCACTTGAAGATCCCATTCAAACGCATGATCAAGTTGTAGCTAAAATGGCTGCAGAGGGAGTAGTTTGGATACCTTCTAACGCAAGTCATTCCACTACTAATACCACAGCTGCTGAAAAGACGAATGTTCGTCAGCCGATGTTACAAAAAACTGATCAGTTGAGATGGTATTCCGAGGAAATTGAAGAGGAGAAAGTAAATAAATGTGTAAGTTAATGAATATTATTTCTTAAAACATTGGGTTAATCTGTTGTTTAGAATCTAGCAATGATCTCGTTATGTGAGTATTTTAGTTCATCAGTATCTACTACTTACAGTATTTGTAAACGGAATGAACAGCTGGAATTAACTAAGGGAAAAAATAGGCAATAAACCTAGTGGGAGAATTTTCGCTTCAACAGTCCTTGACTATGAATGTTTATGTATAATCTCTTATCTTGCCACCGTTTAATAAAATATCGACAGAGTTACAAGTAAGGTCGACGTAAGTCCGCCTAGTCTTAATGACGTTGAGAAAGCGTTAGGAAATCTGAAGCGAGGACGAGCTGCAGGTCCTGATAGACTGACCCCTGAGATATTTAAGGATGGTGGTCCAGTTTTAGCAGCTAGGTTGACTGAGATCTTAAGTAGAATCTGGGAACTGGACGTAATCCCATCCGACTGGTCGCAATCCTTGATTGTCCCGATTTATAAGAAAGGACAAAAGTCTTCTTGTGACAGTCACAGGGGAATAAGTTTAACTAATATAGTTTCTAAATTGTTAGCCTCGATTATACTTAGACGCCTTACTAGTGCTCGTGAAGAGCAGACTCGAGAAAACCAGTCTGGTTTTCGACCTGGGCGTGGTTGTATAGACCACATTTTCACACTACGACAGGTCCTGGAACATAGACACACATTTAGGCGTCCTACAATAGTTGTCTTCCTGGGCCTTAAGGCGGCATTTGACTCAGTGGATCGTGAGGTTCTGTGTCAGTGTCTGTCATTGAAAGGTGTACCAAAGAAGTACATTAACCTTATACAAGCTCTCTACTCGAACGCTACTGGTCAAGTGAGAGCTTATGGCGAACTGTCATCGGAATTCTCTGCTTCAAGTGGTGTCCGTCAAGGATGTCCACTTTCTCCATTCTTGTTCAATTTTATCATAGCCATGCTTTTAGAAATAACCTTATCCTCGTCTGAATTTTCAGGAGTGAACCTTCTGCCAGGTGGCTCACTTATTGACTTAGAATATGCCGATGACATTGTCCTACTTGGTGAAGACGCTGACAAAATGCAGAGTCTTCTGACCACCCTAAGCAACAATGCAAGCATGTTCGGGATGCGGTTTTCCCCCTCGAAATGCAAAATGTTGCTTCAAGACTGGGTTGCATTGGCACCTGAACTCGTGATAGGGAGTGAAGTAGTCGAGCGTGTTGATCACTTCACTTATCTTTGGAGTCTCATCAGCGCTGATAGCCAGGTGACTGACGAAATCTCAGCACGGATACAGAAGGCTCGATTGGTTTCTGCCAACCTGCGTAACTTATGGCGAAGGCGAGATATCCGTTTGCTGACTAAAGGACGAGTGTACTGTGCAGTGGTTTGCTCCGTCTTACTTTATGGCTGTGAAACATGGCCAATGAGAGTAGAAGATATTCGTAGGTTACTGGTTTTCGATCATAGGTGTCTTCGAAGCATTGCTCGTATATCGTGGGACACCCGAGTGAGGAACGCTGTTATTAGGAATCGGGTGCTAGGTAAGAATGGCTGATCAATAGACGAAGTAATGAAGCTTCATCAGTTGAGGTGGTCGGGACATGTGTTACTTATGCCTAACCACCGACTGCCGCGACGAGCTATGTTGCACAGTGTAGGAAGGAGTAGATTGGAAGAAAGTTAGGGGCGGCCAAATCAAAACATGGCAGAAATCCATAAAGTCATTCACTCGTGGACTTAGCCATGTCGGTAATTGTCGACCACCTGGTTGGGGTCCGCGAGATGATAATAATCGATGGTTAGAGACCTTGAATGACATGGCTCAAAATCGTTCGCAATGGCGCCGGTGCATCTATTCTTTGTGTTCTCTCAAATCCTAACCTTCTGGGTTCTTCAACAACCCTAGTTTTGACTTTCTAAACTTTTCTCATTATATCATACTTCTTGAATAATATCTTCTCATCCTAACCGCTCCGATTACTTATAATACCTTTACTACCTCTTCTACTATTGGATTTGAATCGACAACTACATCTCTGTGCTGATGTGGTATGGCGACATGAACTGATGTACTTACGTACGAAGTTCTACGTCGCATCTGACTGACTAACTGACTGACAAGTAAGGTCACATTTTATTGGATACAAACCACTTGATTTTGGTTGGTTCCTTTCAGCGATCATTGTTTCTGATTAATGTTCATAGGCGACGCAATTAAAAACCATTTACAAAGACTCAGACGTCTGTACTCCGTAGCTTAATTATGAGTATTAGGTGTTATGTATTTTGATAAATAAAAGTCCTTATTTATGGTAATAATTTACAATTTGTGTTGACTTATTGAATATAGTAGGACCCGTGAACTTTTGCATTATTGTCTGCTTTCATGTTTTTCTTTTTGCATACGTAATCTAGGACAGACATAACTTTACTCTAAAAATGATTACAGTATAATCATTTATAACTGTTTCCTTTCATTTCAACCTGTAACTATTGAAGATTCGTATCTTCCAGTCAGATAGTTAGCTTATTCATGTGTGATGATGGTTCGCGAATTACTTCGTATGAATTAGCTGGATTATTTAAAAATTATTCACACCAGTTATCTATTTTTGTTACCTGGATCAGAGATTCGGTTCACCAAGTTGAATAGCCTCAAATAATTAAGTAAAAAAGTGAATAATCCGTAGGTATTACTGACTTATTTTTGGGTACAAATTCGATATTCTTAAAATAGTTCACATATCAGTCGTTCAGTTGCAACTTAGGGCTTAGTTCGTACCTATATCAGTTCAAGTTTCCATACCACATCAGCACGGAGAGATCGACTTGTCAATTAATAGTAGTAGAAGTTGTGACAGTATCGGCAGTAATGGAAAAGATTAGGGATCTAAGATAAGATTCGAAAAGTATAATCCTGTGGAATAATTTGAAAAAGAGAAAAAAACGGCTTGAGGAATTCAAAAGATTAGAACTTGAGAGAACACAAAGAATGGACGCATCTGCAGTATTGCACACAACTTTGAGCCATGTCATTCAAAGTTTCTGACCACTGTTTACGATTGACTTGCGGGCTCCAGTCAGATAGTCTACGCCTACCAACATGGCTCAGTCAATTGTCAGTGACTTACTGTACTGTTAATATTTACTTTCCTACTTACCTACGACTGTTACTCCAGATGAAGCATAGGTTACTCACCAGGATTCTTCAATTTGCTCACTCCTGAGCTTCCTTATCCAATTCTGTACTGTTACCATAACTTGTATAATTTCTTCGAACCGTAATCTTCATTACTGCTTATACTTCTACAATCTTTTCCACTACGGGATTTGAAGTCACAATTGAGTCTCGATGCTGATTTAGTTTGGCCACCTGAACTGATCTACGTTACGCACAACGTTCGTCGTTGTAACTGACTTACAGTATATACAGTAAATCTGGACTTGGAAATCTGTTTTAACAAGTGTTACATTGATGCGCAAACTGATATGCTGGATTGTAAAAAATGATAACAAGTAACAGTTTATGCAATCGGACTCCAACTTTACTCTTTGTGTCAAGGCTAGTGATACTGACTGGGTGCCCTCAACCTATGTAGTTCGATGGGTTTTTTGTTTACTGCAGATGTGCGTGTTGAAAGCCGAGTTGCCACCTCTGATCTCCAACCCAGTGATAGAAAATTGAGTGTTTACGGGTGATTGATTACTGTTACCAACGTTCACCCAATTATTTTATGTAACTTTACTCGTTATAATGTCTTATGGATCGTGATTTTTAACAGATGAATATTTATGCTCGGCTACACACTTTTGACTGATGAACGTACTTAATATTATTGATTTAATCTTTTTATTACTCCTAATCATATCTTCAGATATTTTTATCATAGGGATGACTAATACACTACTGGTTGAGTATTACTAATAAAAGTAATTTAATGAAAGTGTGGGGAAAGGGAGGTGGATAAAGTAACTTTTTCCCTTTTTTCTTTTCTCCTTTCCTTTTGTTTTATTTCTTTGTCTTCTCTCTATTTCACTGATGTGTCCTATGAAAAGTAAAAAGCAAAAGCATACTTTTCAGTCAGTTACTCTCTCACATTGGCTTAAGGTGTCTTTTTTACAAAAAATTTTGAAGCATTAAGGTAATATTCTGTTGCCTTCATTTTGTGTCCTCTTACTCTAATGTTTCAATTATCCTGTATGCCTGTGCATATATTATGTATTCATACCTAGTACAATTGAAAAGCTAAAATGTCACTGGAATATATTATTATTAATTCTGTAAAGTAACTACTACTCGATTTGATGATCAAATAATAAATGTATGAACTTATCCGCAAATCATATACTGTTTTATAATTGGTTACTGATCCTGATATCCAGTACGTAAAAAGAGACTACATAAGAGTATTGATGTTATTGATGTCTTTAAGCAAGGATGAAATGAAGTGGTTTTTATGAATCGAACCTTTCTGTGACCTTAAAAATAATTAACTAAGCCATTTACATGAAAACACGATTCCACTGTATTTTTAATGCATACAACATGTGTCATATTTAAGAGTTGTTATCTGTGTAGGTCTTTAATTCTGTAGGTTTTAAATTTCTCTTCTGTTTAACAATGAACAGTGAATGTATAGTTTATTCTATCATCGATATATATTCACCAAAAATCTGTATTATGGTCTGTGTAGCTTCTCAAGCTAATATAATGAGTGGTCGTGACATTCAGCTACATATATATATATATATATATATATATATATATATCCAGGTTTTTTTTCTTATTTTTAAAACATTTACCATATGAAAACTTGTATCGTGCTTTCTACTAGCTATCAAAGTACATTTATATTGTGATTTATGATCGGATCAATCAAAAGCAAGAAATTTAACTTTGAACTAATTGTTAAACGGAGTGCTGAATTCCGTCTTTTTGTAAGCAGTTGTATAACTTGCATTGTTGAATGTAAATCAACGCTTGCTATCCAGTATGATTGTTTCTGAAGTCTTGTCTGATTAGTTGTTAGTCCATAGGTTCTGTGTTTAGCTTATGTACACTAAAGTACGCTGTACTGAAATACTTGACTTATTGTTTATTAAGTTAGTTATGATATAATTAATCGAGCTGTACTTAAAAACATAGGGATCCAACTGGCCTGATCATATTCGATATTGTTTATGACTAATAGAATCAAAAACAATTTTGAACTGATGTACATTTCATCCATGTGCATTGCTATGAATATTAAAATTATCAGTAAATACAGTAAATCTTGACTTTGAAATCTTTTTTAACAAGTGTAACATTGCAAATTTACACTAACCAAACTGTGTATATAATTTATCTTACTATTCTAAATGTACATGTATATGTTTGTGCAAGTTTAGGTTTCACTTCAACTTGTACATTCTTTTAATCAATAAGTGAATTTTTCCCGTTACTAGTCGATCAGTTTTGTATCACATGATATTTAGAGAGTGTTGTTTGATTGGACGTACATTAGTTCGGATAGATATTAAATCGTACACAATAAACATTATATTATAAAGAATAAATTATGTGACATTATATGCATTGGTAATTCTAATTATCATGATGAAATTGCAATACAAATATGTTTTTCGGGTTTATTTGTTAGTCACTTGAATTCCTTGTAAGACTATTATTAATTTTGCGAAGTTTTTCTTGATACATGTATCATTTAATTCTTTTTGGGAAGTATCCAGAAGCGTGATAACGTGCGAGCAGTGAGAATAAATAGGTCAACGTTTTGTTTGATATTTCATATCTACTTATACGGTATAGGCTTCTTGATTAGCGGTTGTCTTTAAAATTTCAAAAAATTTTCTCATATGATGTATTCGTTAAATTTAACGTGATTATAATATCTATTTTGTCTCTATTTAGTTCACTCGGGATATTTACAGATTCATTGATTATTTTCCCATGGTGATCTGCACTTAGATGTTATCGAGTTGTAATATCTCAGTGGTTTGATGTTATTCATAGGTTGTTACAATGTAATGTATTCTATCATAATAACTTGTATTGAATTGCGACCATTAGTTTATTCCATATGTTGAGTATCTTTAATGGTGTATGTGACATGAATGAATGTTATTCCTAAACTCGTTGTATGCCGGCTAAACGACGTTTGACTTGTTCCCTTATGTCTGAATGGTAAAAGCCTGAGGGACCTAATGGATGAAAAAAATGTCCATATGACATGGTGACAAGAACAAAGGTAGATGGAACAAATCAATGAAGTTACTGACAACTGGACTGCGGCATGTTAGTAGATGTAGACTATTTAGTCCGCGAGCTAATTGTAACCAGTGATTAAAGGCTTTGAATGACATGTTTCAAAATCGTTTGCAGTGGCGCAAATGCGTCTATTTCACTGAATTATACTTCTTGAATAATATCTTCGAACCTTCATCTTCTCCACCATCGCTGATAATTCTACTATCTCTAGCACTATTAGATTTAAACTAACAATCGCGCCTCTGTGTTAATGTGATATGGCAACTTGACCTGATGTACATACGTACGAAGTTTTACGTTGTAACTAACTGACTGACAAAACCGAGTATATAAATTTGTACTTGGTAAGAGAGTTGCATTATTACTATTGTTTACTATCATTACTGTTGTTAAAGTTGTTGTTTAATCGTACGTGTTGATTGAAGCCTTTCCGAAACAGTGCAGTCTTTTCCTGTTTTTTTCATTTCGGGATATTTGTCTATCTTTCGTATTATTTTTGTGTGCCCGTCCTCTACGAAGATAAATAATGAATTTAGATTTTACCGACCGTTTGCAATGAATTAACATATGTGCTTATGGATTTGGGTGTTCGATAAGACTTAGATTTCGTCAGCATTTCAAATGCGTTCTAGTGATACATTTCTAGAAGCGGGAAACACTGGTTAACATAGTCTTTTTTCAAGTACGTACAGTAGGTTTTAAGTTGTATGAAACCAAGTATGTCAACTTACTAAGGGATTTTCGCTTTATTTATTTCTCTATGTTTTATGCGGTCGGGTAAATACTTGGTTTGTTATTCTAACAGTTCTTTGCAGCCTTTACTTTAACAGTCATTGAAAAGCAAAATTTTATAGTTGACACAGCAAATACGTTCTTTTTCCATTTATTTGTCTGACCATGAAGCGTAAAATGAAACAGAAATAGTAAAATTATTTACTCAGGTGTAACGAAGGGAGTGTGTATTAACGCTTATCAGTTTCTGTAAGAACGATGATAATAGAATTATGTCAGTTGCCTATTTATTTCTAAAAGTATCAAAGTTGACCAGTAAATGTGTCCACAATGCAACATATTTCATTGTTTTTATGTGTATATTTTCTGAAAATAAACGATTTAAAGAAATTTATAACAATTATCTTCATGTAGTGGGAGGTATGTAACGACATTTGTTGAAGTTCTGTGTAAATTTTCCAATCAATAAGTTAGATAAAGAACTTGGACCTGATATTTATAAGATTTGATTCCGTTTTTGGTGTTAGCAACTGAATGTAGTATTAACTAACAAATGGGAGGTAGATTTGATAAATGGAGTCTGTGAGATAATTATTAACAATGGTTGGGATAATTGTATTCGGAATATGATATGTTGTCCTAGTGTGTGACATTGAGTGAAAAAGAGAATGGATTTTTCTGTCTGTTGTTTAGTCAGTCATGTACTGATAAGAATTTGGTTTGTACTGATGATTATCATAGTGTTGTTTAACTGACAGTGGCTTATTGTTCAATAATACACTATCTTAAAATAATCACCGTAGTTACTAACTCGGATTGGATGGCATTTTGTGTATATAGTAGCTCGTTTGCTAAGATTTCTGTTCATCATCTTGTTTGCTGTTTATTTTGATAATTTGATCAGTACACTCGTGTAATGTAGCTGTTGATGTAACTGAATAACAACTGATCAAGTCTCTTCTTTACGCAAGGAAGGAAAAAGCAGATTGATCTATAAATGATTATTAGGGTTCATTTTCGACTGGTTTTTGAATGAGATTAAGTTTGAAATAAACTGTTGTATAATTTGTTCAGATAAACTTCTTTGTTCACTAATTGGTGAGCGTTCGATCTACAACTCGTACAAAATTTAAATAAAGCAAACAATTAAATTTCGAAGAATTGGGTGTGTCTTGTTTTGTTTTAATTGTGTCTATGAAACTGTACCGGTTCCAAAGTTTAAATGTTACACATTCATGTTTTGTGGGAATTAGTGTGTGTGTTTCAATTATTTTGATTGTTTAAAAATACCTCAAACTCATTTAAATAAAGGAAATGATAATCTAATCATCGAAGCACTAGGATATAATTTACAAAGTGTGATAATCTTTTGTGTGATTCTAACGCAGTAAGAATTCTACTATTTATCCATGACAGTTAGTGCCAGTTTGATAAGAAATATCCTGTGTGTTATCCTGTGTTTTTGATGATTGCTTGTGACGATTGTAAGAGTAATTAGTACAAGGCGTTTGTAGGGAATATTGGATTTTATAATTTGCATCACAGACTGACCTTAGCCAGAAAACCATTTAAACATAGAAATAATAATTGTGTGCTTACAAGTGAATAATTTCTAGAAGGAATCCTAATAATCTGTGACCACTGAAATTTTATTGTTGCGAGTATGACGGAGCTAGTCACCAATGGTGTTGAAAGATGGTTGTGAATTATTGGGAATCAGTTGAATTTCAAAATGTGAACTTTTAAATAATTGCTCACCGCTAGATCTGAAGGTTCTTGATTGGATGCCTGGTGGGGTCTCTAATCGGACGGAACAGTGGTACAGTGCCTTCCGGCTTTGAATATTCGTCCATGGTCAGTTTGTGACTGGCAACTATAATATTATGGATGCATTTTTGAAATTGTGGCAAATTCGGAGTAGATATTGATTCGCTTAGGCCGAACGAATGGACTAACGTCAAGTGAGATATTGTTATTCTGATGAGTTTATTCATGGTTGTTTCTGCTAAATCTTCAGTACGTTCTTATTTATTATTGATCAGTTATTTTCTTTCATTCTTTTTCTCTTTACCTTTCTTCCTACTCTTCTACTATACCGCTAGTGCTGTTTTCACTTGTATTTTCATGTATTGATTTCCTCCGATTGTGGAGATTAAGGTTTGTGATGTGTGTTAAGGTTTTTCAATCGATCACTTAGTCCATGGTGCTAAGCTTGTTGGACTATTGATAATATTGCTCATTTCTGACACTAAATGATAAATCATATTTCCTTTTTAAAACTGATAACGATATTGAATTTCATAGTTGGCGATAGCTGCATATTTCTAAGCTTTTATCCTTAATCGATACCATTCTTACGATATCGTCTATGAATTTTGTTAAGATTCATTCGCACATTTAATTTAATTGATAGTTGGTTTTTCATGTTTTTCCATTTGAATTCCATTTCGTTTAGTCTGTTGTAAGACGTAATTCAGTCTCTGAATCTTACCATTCAATGAAACAGAATTCTTCCACTGTCCATAATGATCCTACAAGAGACAATGATGTCAATCAGTAGGTCTATTTTTCTTTTCCAAAGTTTTTGATAACTTTACTGATAGTATTCTTTTTAATTCACTGGTTGAGTGTTAGTTATAATTCTGTGTATAGAGAAAGAATCTTGTAGGATTTTTTACTTTTCTATACAACTGTTAAACTAAGGTGTAAATAAATGTTTAATAATTGTTTAATCTTTACTACTATCAAGTGTATTTTCATCTTAACCTCCACACGAGATTCCCATCTACATGAGATTTCTTCTGTATAGTACTTCAGTATCACACATTTTATTTTCTCATCATGTTCTGTTAGACAAATTTTTAAAGATATTTATTTTGCACTAAGAAAATTCAAGTCACTTCACTGATATGTCCTTAAGATGGATGTTATGAGGTTTGCAAATAGGTTTATAGATTTTCGTAAAGCAAGAGCGACAATCAATACAGAGCAATACCAATTCATTTATTTTATTGATTCACTTGAACTGCGTACAGTAAGGTCTCTTGGTTAAAGCTGAGTTAAGAAGTAAGAAAGAATTAGAGGAGCTTGTAATTAGGAGTGTGAAGCGTAGTGATGCGTGATGAATTGTTAAGATGAAAATGTAAATGAGCATAACAGAAGTGACATTATCTGTTTGATTGTATAGACTCTGTTTGAATCTTCGGATAGCGATGAATTCCTTAAAGTATGGTGGACTTGAAGCTGTCTGCTAATTGATTATTTTGAAAGACACAAAATTCTTGTTGGAAACCCTATTATCATTTATTTCTTTTATTCTATTCGTGTTAATAGAAGTCATAGTGAAACTGCACAGTCTCCAAACGTGCCCTGTCATTCGGTGTCGAACTCTTCAAATTCTAATTTTACAAATTCACAAATTGGTATATCAGAATCCTCTTTAAAACAAGTTGAATTAGAGGCAAAATTAGAAGAAGTAAGTTTAAAGAATGATTCTAATGATTTATCTTTTCATTATGTCTCCTTTTTTCATCAGAAATGCACAATAGTTTATAAGGCAAATAAACTTAAATGTAGTTTACTTAGGTAGTTTGTGCTGACATTTGGATGCTGTGAAGAGGTATTTTTCTTATGAATTACTATTGTTTGAATAATCAGTGAAATTCCTAGTGAACTAGACAACCCACTGATCCTAACTTTTTTCTTTAATAATGAGGAGCATTGAATGTCAAGTTCACGCTTAACTATTCGCCATCCTAATCATCATTTACTTGCAGAACAGCACAATTTCTCAACCAATATTATTTTTCGTGATCATTGCTTATTAGTAATGTACTGTTTACTTCGCTCTCTACCACTTATGTTATGTCTTTGTTTAAAGTATGGTTTCTTACGTGGTGTACTATGTGGTGTGATAATTCAAGTGTTTGAAGCGGATATGGGCTGTGACGGATGATTAGAATCTTCATCGTGGTAACTGCCTGATTACTTCTGTTCGGACTCAAGACAGAGGATAGCGTACTGTTGGTAGTATGGCTTGCATTGATTCAACGTTATCATTCATCATCGACAGCAACGTAGAACGTTGCACATAAGTGCATCAGTTCAAGTTGCCATACCACGTTAGCGCAGAGATATAATTGTCAATTCGAATCCCATAGTAGTAGAGGTAGTCAAAGTATTAGAAGTAATCGGAGAGATTAGGGTTCGAAGATGTTATTCAAGACGTATAATTCAGTGAGGTAAATTTAGAAAGATAAAGATAGGTGTGATGATTAATTCAGAAGGTTAGAATTTCATAGAACACAAAGAGTGGATGCACCTGCGCCATTGCAAACGGTTTTGAGCCATGTCATTCAGGATCTCTAACCATTGATTATTATCATCTCGCGGACCCCAACCACATGGCGTACATCTACGAACGAGACTCAGTCTACTTGTCAGTGACTTCATGGATTTGTGCCATGTTTTGGTCTGGCCGCCCCTAGTTTTCTTGCAACCTATTCTTACATCGCTAAACATAGCTCGACGAGGCAGACGGTGGTTAGGCGACGTTAACTACATGTCAGAACGTATAGGTAACGTATTGGTAAGTTCTAGTACTCTAGGAGGGTTAGGCGCTTCATCCGATCTAGGTAACCAGATCCAGCTACTATAGTGTTTTGTGTCTGAGTTATTGTTTGTAAGATCCCCTCTCAACTACTTCCTTATCATTTAACAGCCTAAAATGATGCAGGTGATGTTGAGCCACTTGATCAATTGGTCAGACCAAAATAACACTGGACACTGTTCAACGATCAGTCAACTGTTATTTGACAAGAGGTTGTGAAGGTTTCATTACCTAGTCTAGCAACCGTATTTTTGGCTAGGTTTCGACTAGTTGTATGTATGATAACTTAATGATAAACATAGGTAATCAATCATATATGTCGAGAGTTTCCTGCTTTGAGAGTTAGTTTCGGTTACTAAACGATACCGGTTGAAAAGTTTTCAAAAACTGTATGGCACATTCTTTAGTTGGTTTCATATTATCTTACGTTGAGATTTACAATGTGTACTCACGATCTCACATAGTGAATCATACCTAAATGTTTTTAAACGAGTGAGTCGATTGCTACGCTTTATATTTTCGACCTTATCATCACTGTTAGTCTCTGTGATTTGATTTTAGTTCTGTTGTTGATTGAACAGTGTATAGTTAAACTATTCGTCATAAGGTAAAATCTTATTTAAGCAATTATTTAAATCATATCGACTACATACTTGTTGATGTACTTCTATCCATACACACCAACTTACTTAATTAGCAATTTAATAATATTTTACTAAATTATTGTTTAATTTCGTTGTCGTGGTAATTACTACAGTCCAACAGCTTGTGTTTATGCTATAGAAATAATAAATCATTGTATTATTATTATCAATAACTAACTAGAATATCTGAAAAATATTTTAATCAAATAAAATTTGATCATGTTTCTGTGTTTCTAAGATCAAGTTCATTTAAGTCTATCATTTTTATTATTATTATTATTACTATTATTATTATTATTATTATTATTGCTGATAACAATAATAATAATAGCATTTCTTTTCATCGTATAATTGACGAGACCTATTTGTCTATTTAATATTATCGAGATATAATTGTTGATTTGTAAGCATAAGCTTCAACAAAACAAGAAGTACATTTAATCTTTATAGATGAATACTCCGAAAATATATATTAAGTGACGCATAGACATTTGTCTGGAATCAGTATGGACTAATTGTATATATGCAATGTGGATGAAATCTTGTTTTCGTGGTATCGATATTGTTTGAACTGATCGGTCATTTGACAGTGACCGTTGTCTTGTTTATGTAATCCTTAGTACTGATTGAGTTGTGTTGATCAGTCCTAGTGACACAACATCCTTTGGACTATGTTTTGAAGCTAGTTGGCTGTAGTTGTTGACATAATTGTTGAGTAATAAAACCTAAACATGCAAGTCCTACTTTGGGACTACTTCTAATCACGTGATGTCGGTAGAAGATTTTTGGAAGCCAGATAATTCATGTTTGTATTCACTCAATAATGAGTTGAGTTTCGATACTAGACCCGAGTTAGTTGTGCAAATATGTGGTGCAAATGTTGTCCTTGAACACTGTTTGTAGTGTAAATTGGCCAATAGTTAGTATAGTATGTTGGGGCTGTTGTTTATTTGTAAAGTATTCTGTCATATAGTTCCTCAATCATCGGTATAGGGTTTGTGTAGACTGTAGAATTCTTGTAGATTCTAAATGACGAACCGATCTTAGTTGGAACATTATTGAAAACATGAAAGCGATTGACGGCCGCCTCACCAGTTCACATTTACGAGCGAGCATCTGGGAATCGAACTGAGGATCATCGGTTTTGTATGTGGACGCCTGATCTCCAAAGTACTGAGCCGAAGTCCACAGGTGTGCTTGTCTAATTTCAGTCAATCTACAGCATTGTGCTATCATTTTTTATTGTCTTCGATGGGTAACTACCACACATTTGACACTATTTAGCTCGAGTGGTCACATGTTCCCACTAGAACTCCGGAGATTTCTTCTTGAAGTTTGTCACTGGTAGTATGGAGACGATAGTTGTGATTATAGGGTTGCGGAGATGGTTGTATTTCATTGAAATCATGAACTGATTTAAGTTAAAGCACCAATGATTTGAGTGCAGCTCAATAATATCCACCACTCCATACTGACATATCCTCAACTATTTATTCACCTTTGTTTCTTTAGGTTTTTCAGTAGCTGTTGTTATTCATATTACCACAGTAACCACAACGTATCAGTTCCCATTCTACATTAAACTTCCCCGCATACACTCTTAATCTGTTGATTAGAACTTGATGATGACTGTTTTTCTCTTTTTATGCTTCCAGGCTATGACTATTCGTAAACAACAAGATGATTATATAAAACAATTACAGATGTACTATGACAATTTATTAACTAAACATGCTCTAGCCGAAGTTACCATAGATCAATTACGTATGGGAATACGCGTTGGGATTGATGCAAGCAAAGCTTCTGATACACCAGCTCATCATCATACATCAAATAAACCAAGATCTCATAGTATGCAAACAATTCATTATAATATTAGTAATAGGCATGTGTCCGATGACAGTTATTCTCAAACCGATGGTGGTTATCATGAGACCAGAAATGATTCTAGCGGCAATAATGTACATTATTTGTCAACACCTTTATTAGAACAGCAGAGAAATCGATTAAGAAGAAATGCATCAACACATGATGCAAGAATCTTATCAACAACCACTGATAGTTGGGAAACTGAACTGGGTAGTATAAGTAATTCTGGTCAAATCGGTCGTCGAAATGATACACCTGACATGAATAATTATAATGATAAACAATCTGTTTGTTATAGTCCAGATCGTCGTACCATGTGAGTTCATTAAATCTGATTTATCTTCCATATATATATATATGTATATATGTAATTAAGTATATTTATAAAAAATAATTATTGATTGAACCACTTGAAGAGTTTTATTAATTATATGTATATTATTTATTGTATTTGAAATAATGCTATTTAAAAGTTTTGCAATCAATAATTCACAGTAAATCATGAAATATTATCAATGCATGAAATCGTTCAGTGTGGTTATATTTTGTCTAGAAAATCATGGTACTAGGCCACTGGAAGTATTTGACATCAGTATTAGGAAGACACCAAATGATATGAATCAAAGCCGATCATAACATCACTGATAAATGTATCAGATAGTTTAAGAATAATGTTGAATAATCCTTGTTGTTTAAGTGATAATGTTGAAAAGAATGTATAACCATTAAGCTAACAGAGAATTCGGTGGCAATAATTGTCCATTTTTCATTGTTCTGTTGCTTTCTTTTGTGCTTAGATTTTGATTTTGAATTAACCACTAAAACTGTGTAAAGTCATAATGATCCATAGCTTCATAGTTTGATGTATTGCAATGGATTAGCGATATTCAACTTTCATATATTAGGCTACATGTTCGATTTTCTCTTCCACCTACTTTCTTTGCTTTCCTTAATCAGATGATAGTAACACAGACAAAATTGCTAACCAAAAGTCTTTGACAATAACTTATATATCCAGCTAGCAACGTGTTTCGAATAGTTCTTCTCTATTACATATACTCGTTTAGAATCATTTGAAATATTTGTCACTTATCAGTATTGTATTTTTACATACCGTTCCTTCAAATTTTTGTATGTCATACCTTTTTAACTCCAGAGAAAGTGGCAATGCTTGTATATCGGGTCAAAATCACTTCAGAAAAACTTCAGAGCCTTCGCGATCTCCTAGTAATGATCTTTGTTCTCGATTTCATGATGACTCTATGAAAACTCCCATTAACTGGAGAAGAAATACAATAGTGAATTCATGCTATGCTGGACACCAAGAACAGCAACAACAACAACAACAACAAACTCAGATTGATTTACCGTCGTCATTGAGCAGAATTTACAAATCTTCAGGTGATAAAAGTTTGTTACTTGATTATTGTGATAACTTTTGTTCGGAATGGTTATTTTCACTATTTCAGTGTTTCGAGTGAATTTAACGGTTTTCGACTTCCGGTTACTTTCTTAGTAGCTGTTGTTTAGCTACACGAATGTAAAGTCTTATTACTACCGACTTTCATCAACATTATTCGTGTTAATGTTTTAGGGTATTTGAGTTCTGACTGTTTCTTATTGTATGTTATCACAATATTTTAGAATCTGAACTGCTGTGACAGTCAGTGTCTTCTAGTTGCTACTAATAGTTTTTCTATACATGAGCTCAGCCACTCGAGAAATAGAGAGTATGAAAATAAGTTTATCTCTACATATATATACAACACCTTAGGAAGTCGAGCCTGTCACAATGGGCTAATATTTTGTTCTTGAAAATGAAAGTCATTTCTCGGCCAATCACACTCACTTATGGTTTGATCATTTCAGGTTATTCCACTATATCATAAACGCATTTAAACATTTGTTTCCAAAAATTATTCACTGATTTTTGTGTTTCTCAATTATATAAGTACTGTAACTCGCGGTTTGAAAAACGGAAACATGCCACCTAATTATGTATTAGTTATCTTTTGAATTTTTGCAACTGTGATATAAATTAGTTTCTATAAAGGTAGTTTATGCGAAAACGAAAGAGTTTCAGTTTCAATGTGAAAATCGCCAGTGAAATGTAGGTGGATTGAGCCGACCAGTTCCGAATAAAACGAAACACCTGTATTGTTTTTCACTTCATTTTGTTGTCTAACTTTAAAGAAAATGTTTATTCCTTTAGACAGAGAGAGAGATGTATATTTATTCTTTGGCCGAATCAAATTAGTCGTTAGAATAAGATTTTTCATTGCCATAGTGAAATATGAATTATTATTTGAATATTCATACCATCCGTTTGTCTTGCCACCTAATCGTACGTGCTATTGTTGTTGTTTTATATTTTTTAATAAACAGTTCCGGAATCACATAATGGATGTAATGAAAATGAAGTGATTATCAATGAAGAAGAGTTGGAGAATAGAGTCACCAATGTAAGCCATCATCATTCTCATCATAGTAATAACCATGGAAAACAGCCAAACTGTTCAAAAGATTCGAAAGATGTGATTGAACACTTACAGAAAACCGTTTCTACTGTTACTGCACCATCGGTCAACGTTACGTCCAATTTAAATAATGATATGGTTTGTGGTCCTGAAGCTGTTCAAATGGAATTGCTTCTACGTGTTGCTGATTTACAAACACGTTTATCTACAATGGAACTGTATTCAACTGAAAATCGATTTATTCCAGAATCAGATTTAGTCACAATGCAATTGGATTATAAAAGATTGAAAAATTATTATGATTTAGCGAAAATTCGTTGGACTCAAGGTATGTTCTGTTGTGCAGCTTATTCAGTTTTGACTATGTATTGTTGTGTAAAATCTAATCGAACTGTATATACATCAAATTTTCAAATCGCCTCATACTGTGCATATCTGTAATACTACGTTCATAACAGTTTGACGTGTACATTAAAGCCAGTCAGTGGGTAAGGTATTCAGCTTTCAGCTGTTACGTTGTAGGCTCGAACCTACTTGGATTTGGGTAGTTAGGCATTATCACTAGTCATCGTATTTAAAGTATGACTCAAAGTCAAGGACACTGATTTGTACTTGGTAAACCATTTGCCTATACTGAATTGTTAACGGCTTCTACCTCTCTGTTAAGTATATAGCTCGAAAAGAAGTATAAAAGTACGATTTATTACTTTTTGTTACAGTTATTACTTTACGTAAAGTAAAGTCTCTTAAGATTACTTCTCAGGACTGCCGTAAATAGCTGCAGTTGCTCATGCAATAGAATGGTTCAGAGTATGTCCATTGTGAGAAGGCATAGTTTTTATCAAGTGTGTCCTTCTATGGTAGCGAAACTTTGTAGCTCAGGTGTTTGATTATTGTGGTGTTTCGTTCTCTGAGCTTGATGGTTTGGTCATAGAGCTTTCATTGTTGTCAGTCGGTTAGTCATCATCATCGTACGTATGTACATCAGTTCAAGTTGCCATACCATATTAGCACAGGGACGCAATTTTCGATTCCAATCCCATAGTAGTAGAGGTGGTAGAGGTATTAGCAGTAGTAAAAGAAGATTATTGATCGAATAAATCATTCGAGGTGTACGCCGCAGAGAAGTCAGTTAAGAAAGGAGAAGAACGGTCATGAGGAATTCAGAAGATTACGTTTTGAGAGAGCACAAAGAATGCATGCACCTGCTCGATTGTCAACGGTTTTGAGCCATTTCATTCAGGGTCTCTAACCATCGATTACTAACATTTCGTGGACCCCAACTAGGTAGTCTTTATTGACTAACATGACACAATCCAGTTGTCAGTGACTTCATTGATTTGTGCCATGTTTTGGCTTTGCCGCCCCTAGCTTTCTTGCCACCTATTCCTGCATCGTAAAACATAGCTCGTCGAGGCAGTCGGTGATTCCGTATACGCAACACATGTCCCAACCACCTCAGCTGACGAAGTTTCAATATTTCATCTATTGATCTGCCGTCCCTACCTAGCACCCGTTTCCTAACGATAGAATTGATCACTGGGTAGTCCCATTATGCACGAACAATGCTTCGAAGACACCTATGTTCGAAAACCAGTAACTTACGAATATCTTCTACTGTGACTGTCCATGTTTCTCAGCTATAAAGTATGACGGGACGAACTGCTGCTCAGTAGACTCGTGCTTTGGTTAGCCGACGGATATCTTGCCTACGCCATAAATGACGCATTGTTGTTCGGAACAACATCTTCGGCAAAAACTTCAGGTGGAAGCGAAGTATTCGAATTTTTCCATATCTGACTCTTAGCTTGTCCCGTTGATCTTGATCTCAATTGGTTTTTGTTGTCCTTTAACCTGTCGTTATCTGCCTGTTTACTTTGGTTGTATCCCATCTTGATTTGATCCTCAATATTATATTTGTCCATGACTTTTCTGGATGGTCGGTAAATTGGATGAATTTCGTTGTGTTGATTGATTGAATACTTCAATTCTACCTGAATTTTGTGTTGATGTTGTTCAGAAGAACAATGAAAGCCGTACGACGAAACTGTAGCATAAGTGTTCTCTTAAATCTGTTCTACAGTTTTTGTCTGAAACGTTTTTAAATGTGGTTTACACATATTTCGAAAGTAGTTTAAATGAAGCATTTCGAAATATCGACAAAATATGTGGAAACTATTGTCATTGGTTGTGTTTGCTGGTCAATATTTTTTCCAGTTGACATATCTGTTTACTTTAGAACTGGTCACTGTAATATGTACTCATTTGAATGTCGTTCATGAATAATGTGGATGTTTCTCTTTTATATCGAGTTTTGAAAACGTGTATTCATGTAATTTCCAAGTGATCAAAATAATCGTTTTAGTCTATGAAAGGATTTGTTTTCAGCAAAAGGCATTCAGTCTACTTTATCACGGTAGACGATTTTTGCTGTTGCTCACCTATAATGTGAATCACGGCTGTATGTGATTGAGTCACGTAATTTGTTTAGTATAATGATGAAGATTTCTGCTTGATTCCTTTGATGTGATTTGCTTTAAGCTTAACTGTTTGTCGTTATGAGGCTGTGTTTTGTTTTTATTTTTCTTTATAGATTCTCAGTTCGATGCTAATAAAGTGTTGATCGACGAGTTTAATGATATGGGTAGTCAGTTAGATAAATTAGAAAGTTATATATTGAATAATAGCGAAAGAATTTCATCTCCATCATGTTCGAATGCTTCATCACCTGGAGCACTTCGGACACCACCACCACCAGCTTCCATGTCTATTTCCGATCTACCAGTAAATTGGAAAGATTTAAATATGTTAAAGCAATCTGGTCAAACAGCTTCAGGTGAACATAATAATAAACCTGTTAAAAACACAGAAGATAATGGTGTCCTATCATCTCCATCTTCTTTACCTAGTCGTGTAGATCATGGTCGACTATCCTCTGTTTCTCCATTACATTCTCCAATTGTTGAAGGTTATTTCATATTGTTTTTTTTAATTTGTTCAATTTATTTGTTATGCGTTTGCTTAAACTAACACTACATATATCTTAATGATCATTGTATATTATTAATTTGTTTGATTATGAATTATATGATGTTGAAATGTGTGAACTCATGGAATAGTATATGTGAGTTTGTAGAAGTTGTTTACTGCAGGAAATTTAGTGTTGTTAGTTGAAGTTGTTTACATACAGTTTTTTATGATTTACTATTATCCCTAAGTTGCTACGATATACGTATTCAGGTGTTATGAGGTTTAGAAATTGTGCGTAGTAGAAAATTGTTCCTGATCAGACTAATTATTATGATTAAAAGAAATGATCAACAAATAGAGTGGTTTCTTTCAATTCTTTATGTTTCATGAAGTCAATAAAACTAATTATCAACGTGTAACATGTGTTTGATATTTGTGATGAATTCTTCTTATCTAGTTAGAAGTGCATCTCTCTATATGCATGTTTAAATAGGAATATTTTGAGAATAGTTGAATAATAATTCAGTGTGATTACAAAATAAGACATATTATTTATTCTAAGGGGATTTATTCTTCAGTATGCATGAAAAGCAATCATATTGTAGTTCAGTAGCATTTGCCTTATAAGTCAACTAATGTACTCACTGTTTAGTTTTGTTTAGACATTCAACTGTATATGTATCTTATTTGTTTAATGGATGATGTATATTTTTCTTTGATTACTTTCATTTGACTTGATTAAGAATTTTTAAACAAATAAATGTGAATGCAGAATTGAAACAATCGATTGTTTATCTTTTTGTCTCTGTTGTGTAAATATTGGATTCCATTCAGTGACAACACTATTACGAACCAAAATTGCTAAGCATAATATAAAAATTATTCGTTAATTTCAGTTAGTTGTAAAGTTCTAACATCAATAAAATCCTTTGTGCTCTGTTATAATTAATTATGAAAAATGTCTGTTTGATTGTGAACAATATTAAATGATCCTTAAAATATTACTGGATTATTGTTTTATAATAAATCTATCAAGTATTTAATATTGAATAAAAATAAGTAGATCATAGAAAATTGTATTATACTTTATGATGTAGAATAGTCTACCTACTGTTTTATAGTTAATATGTAATGCTGAATGAAGGCGAAGGGAGTACATGAATTAGTAATTAAGTAGTGATTCAACGTTTCAGGTTGAATGCCCTGTCTACCTTTGGTTTAGTGAACTGGGTAACAGTATTAGTTTCAGTAGCCCTCATACTTAACTTGAAAGCAAGTATATGACTCTACACCTGATTATATGTGAATATTATTATTATTATAGTAATAGTACCAACTAGTGCAAAAGAGTTGGGACAATCCGAAAAATAAAACGTTATACTGGTCGAAAAATTTCGTTTGCTTATTACATGAATCATGGAGGAAACTGTATCAGTTGATGATATCAGCTATTAAATAATAATAATAATAATAATAATAATAATAATAATCGTAGTGTGTGTTGATGTGTGTTGTCTACTACAGACTTTCTCTGATGTGATTAGCGTACATGTATTCCTACTGGTTGGTTGTTTGTAAATGTAGTGAAAGTGTTGAATTGCAATTTAATTGTTGTAAAAATGTGTTGCATACTTTATTATCTAAGCAATTAGTAATTCATGTACTTATTGTGTTAGCGGCATTTTCTGTGAATGATAACATTTATGAAGTATTTATACTGAAGAAGTTTCTTAAAATCTTAGTACTGCATAGTCACACGTTGTATAACATTATCTATCATGAATAGTTCTCACTGGACTTTACATTGATTCTTTATGAAACTGTCAACTAATTTACGATGTGTTTATCTTATATTGTTATTATCTTATATTGAATAGATTCGTTATCGGAACTTGAAAGTGTGTATTTTGAATTGATGCAGCATTACAATAAGATAAAGCAACTGCCAATGACCACTTTACGAGCTGAACAATTGTACAATCTAATGAAGGTGAGATAATTTTCAAATGGAAATTCATGAATTCATGAATGAATTAGTGCTAATGTCTAAGTGATCAATCATGGTAATAATGATACATTTTGCTTAGTTATTTGATGCCCAGTATGTTTTGTTTTAGACTTTTTTCTGTCTGTTAGTTAAAGAGTGGTTCTACCATTGACGTGTATTGATTTATTCTCATTTTATATCTCCCCACGTTTGTATGGGAACAAATCAAAGCGTTCGTGCGATTTTCGTCAACATATTGTTTTCGCTGAAACACAAATTCGAACAAGGTAGTCATCTTTGTGCATTAGCAATTAGTGTTCGGTCACTTAAACATTTTGCACTTCTAATCGTTTGAAACGGCTAAGACAGATTTTCTTACTCAGATAGCTTTCGAATCAACATTGAAATTCCTAATATCCAATTGAAGTTAAGCAGGCTGAATTGGATTTCAATGATTAGATTAGAATCAAAGAGGTTGGTTGTTCATGAAGCAGTGTCTATTTCGTTGGTTTAATTCCTACGCGTAAGAAGCGAAAAAACAATCATGCCAAACCTGTTAGATGAGTGATAATCAGAAAAAGAATAAGATCACTGTCTCCATAGATGGCGTGTCAGTCAATTCTAATACAGGATGTCTTAATTATTGAATCTACTGTTTTGGAATCGGTATTTTTCACATCTATCGATCGTCGCAGTTAGTTTTCCACACGGAAGCTGTTGTTTCTTTGCCATTGATGAAATATCATAACGAAATTGTTTGTTGATTATATTGTGTAAATTTTAGAGATGAAGTATTTAACTTTTTATCAAAATAAATAGCTTTTTATTATTCTGTACAACTGTCTTTGGAATATGATTTTCTATTCGGTAATAGTGTTTAAAGGAGGATGGTTGATAGTGAAATTGACGATAAGTGAGCTAAACTAATCTTTTTGAACATACAACACTTTAAAACATAAGCAGAGTGAATTGGAATACAAGTGTAAACTACGAAATGTCAATCTATGAACTAAATCGATGATTGTCGATAAGAATAAGTCATAATCTCTATATTCCCCTTACTATGAAGATTTGGTAAATAGTTTCTATAGTTTCTGTGAGTGTGCAAGAACAGTAAAAACTTGATTGTTAGTGTTTTTTGGTTGATTTCCTTATGTTCATATAAATGTTTAAATTGTGTTATGTAATAAATTTTTTTATTCAAAATTTTTTTTAGCGTTTATATGATTTAGCATTGACTGCTGACAATCGTTCCAGTATTATTGCATCACCAAATGAATTAGAACGTATTTTTCAATTAGATGGTGATACTAGAAAATTAAGTGAGAATTTAGAACGTGCAATTGCTTTACAAGAACAACTATGCTACTATCAAAGTTGTAAGTGTTGGAAAGAAATAATGTTTCATTTTTTTTTAATTTTCAAATCCTTTTGTTTATACTATCGTGATGTGGAATTTGTGAAATTATGGTATTCCATTAATCAGATGATATAATGAACCGAATACTTAGATGATGAAATGATTGGTTACGTAACAATTTCTAGTTTATTGACAGTTTTGACTATGTCTTTTGGTGTCGGTCACACAGTAACACAGTAATAAATTATTGTTTACAATGAATGTTTTCTGTTTGAGGAATGGACATTTATATTACTGGAAGGGTTTGTACTTATAAGTGTGATAGTCGATCATGGATAGCAGAGAACAAGGTAACATCATTATTAGATGAAGTGTAGATTTGAGGAAAAGATAGGCGAATTCGTCAAGGTGGAAGTGCAACGGAAACACATAGAGCTAGATGAATATAATTGAGAGAATTTCTGGAGAAAAGGGATTTTACAGAATTATGTTTCATGTTCATGCTAGCTGATGTCAATTAATAAGATTTATCCCATGTTTTAGGAGTTTTCGATATTCGTGTTGTGAAGACATTAGATAATGACTAGTGTTATGCGTTGAAATCTATATAAATTTATATATTGCAGTGTAGTGTTTTAGAAATTCACTTAATTATGTTTGTAAACTTCTGATAAATATTTTGTTTTGTGTGTTTGTGTGTCATTTGTAGTTCATGGCTGTGAATCGAATGCATCATCACACAAAGAGGTTGTTCCACAGACAAATGAAACAAATGACAGCAAAGTTGATTTACTTAAAGATAATTGTACGAATAAATTATCATCGTCTGTTTCATTGTCATCGTATTCCAGAGGTCATGATGTACAAAATAATAAAAAGGTGAGATCAGTTGTGCGTGGATGTGACTATCTGCTGAAATAAATCTGTTGTATAATATTAGTAGTAGTATCAGATAAGGCGATTTTGTATTGTGTTAATTAATATGAAAATGTCAAACGCAGTGTAATGTAACAACGTATAAACAGACTTCTTAGTTATCGTCAAAGTTTCGTATTCGTTGTCACGATATATAACTCACATCTTTTGCATTAGATAATGTCAATCACAAATTTTTAAGAACATTTCTATGAACTGTTTTTACTGGCAATTTCGCAGAAAAAAGTGATTGTTAATTTCTATTTCACAATAAAAAGTGATGCGTGTAAATTCGTCAATTCACGCTTAGAAATGTGTAGTTCTATTGGAAGTGCAAATCATTAGATAATGACTAATTCATCGGTCTTGATGTTAACACTCTGAAGACTAGACTCAATAGTTGTAGGTTAAATATTGTATTTTACTTTTAAATAATAACGATGGTTTTGTTGCTGAAATGAGTGTTAGATGTTTGAAGTAACTTCAAATGTATTCAATGATGATCGTTTTAATAAATTTTCAATGAGAAATCATATTAACTATTACTGTATAAATTTGTGTCTGGAGTTCAGTGGCAATGTGGCAACGTGAATGATTGTTTAAACCGAAAAAAGTAGTGATATATTAGTCGTCAGTTATACTCCGATTGTCGCAGTGTATTGACGAGTACAAAACCGTTGGTTGATATTTTTGTCCACATAGATATGTAAGTCTTACAGCAAATAAGAAATTCAGGTTAGAATTTGATTGAGAAAGTAGTGTACTGCGTTGTTTGTTGTTGTTTAAAACAAGTCAACGAAAAGTTGTACAATAGTCATTTTATCGGGATAATGAGTTTATGAAATGTAATTTATCCTCGTATAAAACGTCTTGGCAATAAATTCGTCAACTGTGATGTATATGATGTGGCGCACAGTTGATCGAGTGGAGTTTCAAGAATACTGTTCTACCTTTGTTTGTCCTGTTGTGTTGATTTCAATAGTTGTCTTTTTGATGTATTTTTGATGTACTAATCTTGTAGAATTCTACTAATTCACAATCATTTACTTCATCGGACACGTCATCCAATCAGGATAGTGGTCTTTCGACACCACCTGAAAGTTCTGATGGTGGTATGATGAGGCATGATGAACCTGATCGTCGTCATCATCATCATCAGCATTATTTCCCACCTTCTCATCAGACTTTAAAACATGAAACATTGTCTACTAATAGTAATTCACAAACAGACAATTCATCTAATACACCAAAACATAGTAATTCTGACAGTGGTTTAGTAATGCATCCTCAAACAATTCATTCATCTATACAATCTATGAATCATGAACATAGTAAATCACCCAGTAACACATCGTCAGTTGAATTAAAGCACTCAGTCTGTGGTAATGATAAGCAGGATGGAATGAAAGTAGTGAAGAAGAAATCGCCTGTTTCTTATTCTTCAACACAGTCGTCTAGTTCAATTACTAAACAGTAAGTGAATTAAATCTGGTGTCTAGTTATGAATTCGTGTTTCATACAATAAGTAACTATGCATATTTCATTCCATTTTGTATTGTGTCTTATTGGAAATGCTCTCTATAGTAACGGTCCGTTTACTATTGCATATTATTATTAGTTAGTTAGTATTGATCAACTGCACATAAACATCTCACGTTGTTTGTTTGTTTTTTTGATGGTGTTTGTTTGTATCTATTAATTTGTAAATATGAAAAGGTGACTTTTGTTATCAGTAGGACAATTTATGAAAAAAAAGTGTTCGGATAGGTTATTTTGATGTTTATTGTATAGGTTTTTCAGTGGTCTGAGATTTATTATTGTGTACTATTGATCGGTTTTGGAATTGTGCAACTAGTCATAGTAACAAATTACCGAAACGATTTTCTCTCAGTTTGTTAAATTACTTGACCGTTTTCCTCTATGCATTCAAAGTAACAAAATTAATTTTTTTCGATTAGAGTTATGCAGGTTAGTGTTTTTACACATTGAAATTATCAATCAATCATTGTTAGAGCATACGAGAACGAAACGGCTGTCCATTGCATGCAGGTTTCTAATGGTTGTCTGACAATGATTGATTGATGTTTTCAATGTGTACAAGCAAAAATAATGTTGTTTGTGGGAAGTTTATTAATAGTGAGTTTTAGAGGTTAACGATAATCGTGTGTATCGTGTTTACTGGAACTTTTACTTACTTGAGTATTGCATGTGTAGATATCTGATTGATCGTTATTCGATGGAATGATGATGATGATGATGATGTTTCTTGAGGTAGGGAGTGCTGTTGACAATCTGAGAACATGATTGCAGTGCCCATGAGATAAGTGCTTGTGACTGCTGACATATGGTCTTTTGTAAGAAGGCGTAGGTAGGTTAGCTTTGTACCTTCAAGGCTGTTTCTCTGGCGATTGGAATTCGTGCTATTTTTACGGTTGACTTTTTATAATCTATTCCCTTCATTATGGGAAGACAGCGAGCTCGAAATGCTCTTTGCGTGTTGAGAGCGTGACTGTCTTACTGTCTTATATGGTCGTGATTACAACTTTGACTTTGATCCATAAGTGTGCTACCTTCAGTCTTATCATTGCCCTAATAAGTGGTTCGCTTTATTTGGACGTAAAGGAACAAATACCGTAATCAGTTGAACTATCTCTGTATACGAACCACAGTTGTGTATGTACGTATCAAAGAGAGCATTGTTGTATCGACGTGTTTTAGAAATAATCTATGATTATAGGATACTGCACTTTTTATCGTTTAATTGGCCATTCCTTAGAAGGTAATTGATAATGGTTGTTTTGTTGTATTTGTTTGTATGAAAACAGTTTGATCAACTCATCATAATGATCTGGGAAAATGTCTATAGAATAAGATATTGAGTTTCGGTTTGCATCTGTTTCTGACCTTTTGATTATTTAGAAAATTTATTTAAGTTCTAATTTTTTGTAATACTACGCAGTACAGTCGGAAGCTGTGAATTAGTCACACAAGTATTAGGACTTGATTATTTACAGATGAATTTCCAGTTGTTATACTGATTGATTTTCAATTCAGTTATTACCAGTTAGTGAAATTGTATTATCATAATAGTTGAGCATTTTGTTTAATGCTGTGTACATTTTGCATCATTACTTTCAGACGAATAGATGATATTGAAAATAGTGTACGTTTATTGAAGAAGAATCTTGAAGATCTATGTTTGAAAGGTGAAAATGGTACACCAAATGGTTATGTGGAAAATGGGATACCTGTCATGAATCGAAAATCATGTCAATTTGTTTCACCTACATTCGATTCACGTAGTAATCTTCCTTCATCAGGTGTGAATAATTTGGATGTTTTTGGTTTTCCACATCTTGCTACTAGCAGTCCTATTTTGAACAGCAACAATAAAAGTGGTGGTGTTTATGTATCATCTGGACAAGCGAACACATCATCATTATCTATGCAGGATGTTTGCGAACAGAACCTTGTGGAAAACTCGAATTGCACAAGAACAATACTTCCACCTGGTCGAATGTATCATAGAACACTAGATCGAAGGTTTGTCAAAAGACAATTATTACTATGATGAGATATGATTTATGCAGATTGTATAAACTTTGTCTTTTTTAGTTCTTGAATTTTCGTAGTGAATGAAGGTGTCTGTGAGTTACTAGCTAATTCTTTCTGATAATTCTCTCTGTGTCTCTCTGATTGCGTTGATTATAGCTGGTGCGTATTTGACTGCCACGTTTTCACATGAGATTCTATATTGTCTATAACTAATTGATTGAACGTAGTTGGTAATTTGTCTACCTTACATATGATGCTGTTCTCTTTATAATCATTATTTGCGTCTGATTCTCGTGATGTTTTGTAATTAACGGAGTTGGTTGAATTTGTTGGATTACTATGTTAATGAATCTTTTTGATGTTCTTTGGATAATTGTTTAGTGTGTTGTATGTGATGAATTGATAGGATGGTTGAGTATTCATGATTAGAAGAGGCGCTAGCTATCTAGGGTTGGCATGTGCGAGTTGATGATTACGCCGTTGTTGGGTTTTAGAGATAATGATGATGATTGTAGGTGGTTTGCGGCGATATCAAACATGATTGAGAATAGGAGCTAGTAGTGATCCCACTGAAGTTTTCTTCTACATTCTTCATACGGGTGATGTCTACTTCTTTCATAGAAAACAAGTCTTTTTTTTTATTGTATTTGTACCAAATTGTATTTCTTATTGTACAGTATTCTTGTTTATTTATAATCACTTTCTTTCTTTTTGTTAGTTGTTTCAAATGTTTTCCTTATGTTATGTATACTATTCTTGGTGATTAGTTGTACTACGTTTTTTGTGAATCAAATGACCTAAACGATTGTCAAGTAAAAGTACACGAATGTGTTTTTTCTCCTAATGGTGATTAGGTGGCTGTCACATTATTGTGTTGTTACTTGATTACACTTCGATCTGTTAGATAAATATTGTACAGTGTATCGTATTCTTCATGATATCTTTACCTTTGAAATGTTTTTATGATGAAACGATCGATTACTGCCTGTTAATGCATTCTATTTTTAGGTTAATAATGCATGGTCAAGAAAATGATAGCAATTATTCATTGTGTTCTGTGAAACCTCAACTAAAAAACAATCAAGAATATGTGCAATCAAAATCGAATCAATCTATCACACGTACTTTGTTTAATAATAATAATACTAATAATAATAATAATTCACGTAAAATTTTACATCGTGTTAATGATTCCAGAGATTTGAATTGTTGTCGAAAGGTTAATTCTTCACAATGCAACAATGATACAATTCGTTGTTCAAGTATGTTTTTGATAATTGATAATTTCTTTACTTAATATTATCTACCTTATATTGTTCATATGTTATTCTTTTCAATATGTATAAGTGTGTTTTATGCTCATCAAGTAAATATGAATCAATGAAAATCCATTTCTACAAATGAATATCAAAGTGTTAATGAGAGTCATTCTATGTTCCATCAGAAATATTCGTCGTTAGCTCTAATCTTCTCCACTTGATCTACTTCAATACGAAATGAATT